AACTAAAAAATCATCAAAAAATTGTAAACTAAAAATCGCAACGGCAAAAAATCGAAAAACCGAGAAATCGAAAAATCCAAAGATCGAAAAATTGAAACATCGGGATCGAAACATCAAAAGATTAAGAAATCAAAAAATCGAAATATCCCAAAGTCGAAAAACGGAAAAATTAATAATCGAAGCACTGATAAAATTTAAAACATTGATAAATTGAACAATGCAGAAATAGGAAATTCGAAAAGTTGAAAAATCGAGAAATGGAAAACTCGAAACATCAAAAACATTAAAAACCCAAACCTGCAAAATCGAAACCTGGAAAAATCGAAAAACCGAGAAATCGAAAAATTTTAAAATCGAGAAAAAGAAAATTTGAAAAAATTGAAACAATCGAGATGAGAAATCGAAATATCAAAAAATTGTAAAATCGAAAAACCGAAAACTGTAAAATTTATAAACTTGAATCGAAAAACTGAAAAAACAAGATATTGAAAAGCCCTAAATTTTAATGTCGAAAAATTGAGAAATGAAAAAACTGAAAAATCAAAATATCGAAAAATGGAAACTCGAAAAATCGCAAAGCCCAAAAATCGAAAAACGGAGGAATTGAAAACTGAAATATTGATCAATTTAAAAAATCGAAAAACCTAGAATTTAAAAAATTGAAAAAGTGAAAAATCCAAAAAAATAAAAACACAAAACTGCAATATTGAAAAACTAAAAAATCGGAACATCGAAAAATTGTGAACTCTAAAATTCGCAATGGCGAAACTCGAAAAACCGAGAAATTGAAAAATCCAAACATCGGGATCGAAACATAAAAAGATTAAGAAATCGAAAAGGCGAGAAGTCGAAAAATTGAAATATCCCAAAATCGAAAAACGGAAAAATGAAAAATTGAAGCACTCATAAAACTACAATTTTAAAACATCGATAAATTGAAAAATCGAAAAATTGAAGAAATGAAAAGCCGAAAAATTGAAAAATCCGGAAATAGGAAATTCAAAAAATCGAAAAATGGAAAACTCGAAAAATCAAACAACTAAGAAATCGGGAAAACTAAAAATCAAAAATTTAAACAAATTGAATCGAAAAATCTAAAAATTGAAAAATCAATAAAACGAGAAATCGGGAAATCGAAAAATCTAGAATTTAAAAAGCTTTAATTGAAAAACTGAAAAATCAAAAAAAATTAAAAACCCAAAACTGCAAAATCGAAAAATTCAAAAATGGAAACATGGAAAAATCGCCAACACGAAAAATCGAAAAACTGAGAAATTGAATAATCGAAATATGTAAAAATTAAAAATTGAAGCACTGAAAATTAAAAATTACAAAATCGAAAAATTTAAGTCCTGAAAAATCTAAACCGAGAAGTCGAAAAATTGAAAAATGGAAAACTGAAAACTGTAAAATTTAAAAAATTGAATCGAAAAACTGAGAAAACAAGGCATTGAAAAACCCTAAATTTAAATCTCAAAAAATTGGAAAATGGAAAAACTGAAAACTCAAAATATCGAAAAATGGAAACTGGAAAAATTGCAAAGTCCAAAAATCGAAACTTCGAGATCGAAACATTCAAAAATCGAAAAATCGAAATTGCGCAAAATCGAAAAACGGAGAAATTGAAAACTGAAACATTGATCAATTTATAATTTAAAAAAATCGAAATCGCTAAATAGAAAAATCTAAATAAAAAATGAATGATAAAAAAAAAACGAGAAATCGGGAAATCGAAAAAGCCAGAATTTAAAAAATTGAAAAATTTAGTCGAAAAACTGAAAAATCAAAAAATTAAAAACCCAAAAATTGAAAAATTGAAATATCGAGATAGAAACATCAAAAGATCAAAAAATCGAAAAACAGAAATAACCCCCAAATCGAAAATGGAAAAACTGAAAATTGAAGCACTGAAAATTTAAATTTAAAAAATCGAAAAATTTAAAAACCGAAAAATTGAAAAATCGAGAAACCGAAAAGTGGAGTAATTTTAAAAATCGAGATAATGACGAGAAATCGAAATACCAAAAAATCGAAGAATCGGAAACCGAAAATTGTAAATTTTGAAAAATTGAATCGAAAAATTGGTAAATGGAAAAACGGAAGAATCAAAATATCGAAAAATGGAAATTCAGAAAATCGCAAAGCCGAAAAATCGAAACGTCGAGATCGAAACATTGAAAAATCGAAAAATCGAAATTGCTCAAAATCGAAAAACGGAGAAATTGAAAACTGAAACATTGATCACTTTAAAATTTAAAAAAATCGAAATCGATAAATCGAAAAATTTAAATTTAAAAAATCTACAATTTAAAAAATCGAAAAATTTAATTGAAAAACTGAACAATCAAAAAAATGAAAAACCCAAAACTGCATTATTAAAAAATTAAAACATAGAAAAATCGCAAAGGCGAAAGAAAAATAGAAAAACCGAGAAACCGAAAAATCCAAACATAGAAAAATTGAAATATGAAGATCGAAACATCGAAAAATCGAAAATTCGAGAAGTCGAAAAATCGAATTGGCCCAAAATCAAAAAATTCAAGCACTGATTAAACTAAAATTTAAAAAATCGAAAAATTTAAAGACCGAAAAATCTAAAACCGAGAGTTGAAAAATTGTAAAAAAACCCGGAAAAATGAAGAATTGAAAAACCGAAAAATCGGAAAATCGAAACCCGAAAAGTCAAAAAATCGAAAAATAGAAAAGTCCAAAAATTAAACAATTGAGAAATCGGGAAATCTAAAAGTCAAAAAGTTTTAAAATCGAAGAATCTAAAACCGAGAAGTCAAAGGGCTGAAAAATCGAAAATGAAAAATAGTAAAATCGAATAAATCAATCGAGAATTGAAAATTAAAATTTAATAAATCGAAAGATTCAAAAGTTCAAAACCCGAAAAACCTAACTCGAGAAGTCGAAAAATTGAAGAATGGAGAACCCCAAAAGTCAAATAATTTAAAATAAAAAAAAATCGAAATCGAAAAACTGAAAAATCAAAAAAACGAGAAATAGGGAAATCGAAAAATCCAGAATTTGTAAAATGGAAAAATTTAATCGAAAAACTGAAAAATTTAGAAAAATAAAAAATCCAAAATTGGAATATCGAAAAACTGAAAAATCGAAACATCGATAAAATGAAACATCTGGATCCAAAAATCGAAATGTCCCAAAATCGAAAAACGGCAAAATTAAAAACTGAAGCACTAATAAAACTAATAGATAAATTGAAAAATCGAAAAATTGAAGAAGTGAAAAACCGAAAAACCGAGAAATAGAAAATTCAAAAAATCGAAATTCCAAGAGCCTAAAAATGAAACTGAGAAATCGGGAAATCAAAAAGTCTTAAATTTAAAAAATCGAAAAATTGAATCGAAAAATTTAAAAACTGAAATATGAAAAATACGAGAAATCGGGAAATTCGAAAAATATAGAATTTAAAAAATCCATTATCTCAGATGGGCAGACAAATTGAAATATCGAAAAATCGGAAAATCGAAATTCGAAAAGTCGAAAAATCGAGAAATAGAAAAGTCCAAAAATCCAAAAATTAAACTGAGAAACCGGGAAAGCTAAAAGTCAACAAACTGAAAAATCAAGAAATTGAACAACCTAAAACTGAAATGGCGAAAAATTGAGAAATCGAAAAATTGGAAATTCAAAACATCTAAAAACTTTAAACTCGAAAAATCAAACATCGAAAAATTGAAACATCGAGACTGACTCGTCTAAAAATTGAGAAATCGAAAAGTCGAGAAGTGGAAAAATCGAAATAGCACAAAACCGAAAAATTAAAAACTGAAACACTGATAAATTTGAAATAAAAAAAATCGAATAATTGACTAAATTCAAAAACAAAAAATCAAACAAAAACGAGAAATCGGCAAATCGTAAAATCTACAATTTAAAAAATCGAAAATTTGAATCGAAAAACTGAAAAATCAAGAAATTGGAAAACCCAATCTTGAAATATTGAAAAATTGGGCTATCGAATATTTGAAAACTCGAAAAATCGAGATATTGGGAAATTGAAAAATTTTAAAACCGAAGAATCTAAAACCGAGAAGTCGAAGAGCTGAAAAAACGAAAAAGTGAAAAATAGGAAAATCGAACAATAAATAAATCGAAAATTAGAAACGCCAAAAATTGAAAAATTGAAGAATTGAAAAATCATAAAGCCGAAATATCGGAAAATTGAGAAACGGAAAGAAATCAGGGAATCAAAAATAATCCAAGTAACTTTTTCAGTGAAGCGATTTCGAAGTCCAGTGCTGGATTTATCCGCATTGTCCCCGTCCGTGGGCGGATGCCACTTTTGCGCACGGCGTAACGCACGTTACATCACAGGCGGAGGCGCATCCGAGGCTCTATTTTCAAACGCGTTTCCGGGATGGCGCTGCGACAAAAACGCCAAGACGACTCAAAACGCAACAGCTGACTCGAATCGAATTTAGATTTCCAGCGGCATACGCAAGCCGCCGACTAAATCTCTCGTCTTGGCCTCGACTCGACTTGGGCGACCGTTTCGCGAAATTTGATTTAGACGCGAGATCCAGATAAAACCCGCGGACAGTTAAAACTCGTCACTTATCCCCTCGGAAAAATCCAAGTTCCGTTTTTATTAACACCGCAGCGTTAACAAGAAAACTCGTATTTAGACGCAGCTCCCGGGCCCAACTACACCGATTGCACAATGTCGGGCATCCCGTTATATTTAGCGCGATTTACCGGAAGACGACTTCGTTTTTCGGGCAACATCAGGAGCGGGACGGCGAAAAAAATTGGCGAATCGATTTTCGATCGGGTCGCGGCGATTGAGAGGCGGCGGGCGTCGTCGCGGCCGGGGGAAAAAAGAGCAACAAATTAAAGACGAAGTTTGCCTTTGATATTGACCGCTTTATTGCGCGACGACGGCGCCAGGGGACTCGGAGTCCGTCTTGCAAATTTGATGGAGCGGAGCGGGCTTTTTATTCGGGACGGGATTTAATGGGGTCGGATTTACTTACCGGGATAAAAATCGTGCGATTTGGACATCTTGACTCGTGCCCCGGTTTCCTTCTGGAGCTGGGCGATGGTCTCGCCACCCTTGCCGATGATGGCGCCAGCCGCCACGCTCGGCACCAGGACCTTGAAATGATACGTTCCATCTCCGCCTGAAACAGAAACGGGTCCTTAGCACTGTCACCCAGTCGAATAAAGTCATTACTATTTTATTACTTCCCGAGCGTAAGCAAAGGAAGTATTGTAATCGAGTCCGTCGGCCGACTCTCTACTTTTACGTTTTCTCGATCTTTCATGACCCCTAGAAGACGAAGAAATAGGTCTCCCATTTCCGTCTGTCTGTCCGTCTGTCTGTCCGTCTGTCCGTCTGCCCCCGGATTTTTATTAGACAGATAATCTCCGAAAGTACTCGACCGATTGTTGTGAAATTTTGTACTTATATTAAGAATATCATGTAGATGGTAAAACGCTAACCAAAATTTGTCTAATCATCCCCACCACTAATGCGATGACGTCACTTCAAAATTGTACATAGTAAATGGGTTTTCAATTGTATAAAATAACATAGTCCTACACATGTAGTTTACAACTCTGAATCGACTTTTCACCCGAAACGTCCAGATTTTTGGAAAAAAAATCAAAATTATAAAACAACATTTTGAAATTTAATTTTTAATCTGCTAACCAGAATGCTTTGAAATGTTGCAGATGTTTTAAGGCTATAAAGAGCATCATAAATCTTTAGTCAAAAAATATTTGCTTATCCCCTCCAAAAACTTGATGACGTCAGCTCAAAAGTTTGTGGAATAAATCATATCTAAAATGTACAAAATATGATGAGTCTGTACTTGTGATCTATCACTCCATTCATATTTTTTGGATTTGCATATACAGAGTGACTCAAAAAAATTAATGAATCCGTAAATACAGTAGACGCCGCTTAATATGATCACGGTTAATGTTATCAACCGCTTAATGTGATCAAAATGGCTTGGAACGGGCCCACGCAATACCTATGCATTACAGTTTTTCCGTTTATTGTGATCAATATTTCGCTTATTGTGATCAATCTCGCAATTCTTAAACAAACGGGAATTGCTTTTTTGGAGAAGCGAGACGACTGAAACTAGTATTATGTTTTAATGAACATTCATTGCTCTCAAAAGGTACTACTCATTTTATACAATCACAATCAGTGGTCAAAAACAGACTTAAAAGCAGTGCGTTTTCGACTTTTGAACGAATGAATTTTTTCTGTTTTAAATCTGAGTAGACTTATGTAACAATTAACACGTCGAAACGACAAAATCTCAGTTTATCAGAGAAAAAAAAAAAAAAATTCAGCCCTTACTTAACAAATTTCTACAACAACCAAAGGAAATCGAGGGTTTCTTTCTCAGAATGGTAACCAAAATTTAAAATAAATTCTAATGTTTATGTACCTTCATCTACCAGCGTAATAAACACTGTCTTGTTCATGATTTTGTTTTGTTTCGAGTTTTACTGTCTCTGATTGTGGTTTTCGCTTATTATTATCAGTCGGTTAGTGTGATCAATTTGTCATAGTCCCAAAGTGATCACATTAAGCGACGTCAACTGTATATTTTATTGATTTAATCAGGAACTACAAAACGGAATGCTCTGACATCTTGCAGATGTTTTAAGGTTATAAAGAGCATAATAAATGTTTAGTCAAAATATATTTGCTTATCCCCTCCAAAAACTTGATGACGTCAGCTCGAAAATTTGCCGAATAAATCATATCTAAAATGTACAAAATATGATCAGTCTGTACTTGTGATCTATCACTCCATTCATATTTTTTGGATTTGCATATACAGGGTGATTCAAGAAAATAAATGAAAGCGTAAATTTATTTTACTGATTTACTCAGGAACTACAAAACCGAATGCTTCGAAATCTTGAAGATATTTTAAAATTATCATAAGCATGGTAAATTTTTGATCAAAACGTATTTGGTCGTCCCCCATAAAAAATTTATGACGTCACCACAAAATTTTGCTGAATAAATCCTATCTAAAATGTACAAAATATGGTGAGTCTCTTCTTGTGATTTATCATTCCATTCAAATTTTTTCGATTTGCATATACAGGGTGACTCAAAAAAATTAATGAATGCATAAATTTATTTTATTGATTTAATCAGGAACTACAAAACCGAATGCTTTGAAATCTTGCAGATGTTTTAAGGTTATAAAGAGCATAATAAATTTTTAGTCAAAATATATTTGGTTATCTTCTACAAAAAACTGATGACGTCAGCTCAAAAGTTTGCCGAATAAATCGTATCTAAAATGTACAAAATATGATGAGTCTGTACTTGTGATTTATCATTCCATTCATATTTTTGGATTCGCATATGCAGGGTGACTCAAAAAAAATTAATGAAGGCGTGAATTTATTTTATCGATTTAATCAGGAATTACAAAACCGAATGCTTTGAAATCTTGGGAATATTTTAAAGTTATTATAAGCATGGTAAACTTTTGTCCAAAATGTATTTGTTCATCCCTCCTAAAAAAATTGATGACGTCACCCTTAAATTTTGCTGAATAAATCCTATCTAAAATGCAAAAAATATGATGAGTTTGTACTTGTGATTTATCATTCCATTCATATTTTTTAGATTTTCTTAAGAGGTGGTTCCAAAAAATTAATGAAGTCAATTTATTTTATTGATTAAATTAAAGGCAACACTTATTATTAGTATTACACCCCAACCAACCCAATTTGGTAGACACAAAATTTGTTAAAGGAAAAACTCGGTTGAAACATAAGGGTAGCACGCTTATTTACATCGACTTTAACATTACAGACCTGCATTTGTTTTATTCGTTCACTTGGTTCCGCGAATGTGAAATAGACATGTTTATAATCAACCAATTGTGAATTTCACCGTCAAGAATTAAAATAAAACCCAATGTTTTATATAATAAGCGGAAGTCGAAGCAATAAAACCGATGGTCGTTTTGTTTACAGTTTCTCTGTTTGACTCTCACGTATGCTGTTACGCTTGTCATCTTAAATTAAGAATGTTTATATATAAACGATTTTCAGTTGCCGTATACGTGAGTAAATTGTTTCGTTATTTTATTGATTATAAAAAATCAATATTCAAAACGACCCAATTCATTTTCCCGAAAATTTGGGAATACAATAATTTTATTCTTAGTATTACACTACATCTATCCCAACTGGTATACGTGTCCTTGCAAAAATGTTGATGACGTCATCGCAATTTTTTTTAAATTTTAAACTCTTTAGACCATTTTTTTTATCGTGTTTAAGCGGTTTCCCTTTCAACAGACCCAATTCCTGTTTTAAAAGATTACCCTTTTCCGATAACAATGTTCATTTTGTGGAATAAACTCGTTTCGACGATTACTTCAGCCCCGATATTCTTCCCACAAAATCAACAGAAAACTCCAAGTAATAAAGGATTTACGACGAGCGATGTGTACATTTAACATCCGTGCGGGCTGCGCTTCTAAATTATGGATTTCGCGCTGATGGAAAAATAGCAATTAAAATTGCCTTCAAATTGAGCTTCTCCGGGATCTTCTTCAATTGAGAATCACGTTTCTGTTGTAATTTAAACCCAAAGGCGAGCTCACGCAATTACTTCGAAAGGTTGCCACAATAAAAAAAATCTCTTTAGAGAGCATCAAATTACCGCAGCAGCATCAACAAGCAATCTAATGTAATTTATTACGTAAGTATTAAAGTACGGTAATATCATTTTTTAACCTTGTGCATCTAATGTGCTATGACTTCCGCAGTAATTTCTATTATCCGCTAATTTTTCGCTAATTTTCCTCGACCTGTTGGGAATACCAATTGTTACCAACATAATGCACATTTCATCTGCTTTTAACAACCGGTTGTGTTTGCGTTCGTTCTTAACAGTAGCTTAACGGACACGAAGATGATAAAAACACGGTAAACAATACACTCACGTGGTTTCCGTTTAAACAAATACCATGTATGTAATTTGGTTAAGTAATAGGTGCGGTGGAAATTTCAAGAAAACAAGAACGGTAGCAGCTTCTACGCACTCTGAAGAATAAATCGAAAGTCAACATTTTTAATTCGACTAAACAAGTCGCCTTATCGTAAATTAAACTTAGCCATTGTACCCGTTCCCTAATCTCTCCGAAAGACTTTGCGGACACGAAAGTGGCATTAAAGTCCCCCGGAAGCACCTCCCGTTCCTTGTATTACCGAACTTGATGGCTTAATTTAAAGACAACGGGTCAACAACGCTCTCCCCGGATTTTCCTCAAGCAAATATTTTCCCTTCCGTGTTTGTAAATTTTTACGATTACCCTATAACAAACACCGGCGGCGGCGACGAAGGCGGCGGCGGGGGGTTAACAAATTTAATCGCTAATGTGGAGGCCCCCGGTAAATATTTTCGCTTTTCTTCCATCATAAAATTGTTTGCGTCGACGTAATGACATAACGAGGGTTGTTTACCTGAAGGACGTCGTTCCGTACCCCTCGGAGCGGGTTGGACGACGAATTAACCCCGGAAAAAGTGGCAACAATCGATACACTTATCCGATGGAGGAATGCGGTGACGTCATCGATTTAATTGCTCGTGCATACTTTGCAAATCGCGTCATTGTATGCATATTATCAACCGAAAGTGAAATATCAACACGCGTGACGTCATTTCTTCTTTCGGACTATTTAACCTACATTCCGCGCTTAAAAATACCGACTCTTCGAAATTAGATTTTTCGCAGCCGCTCATTCATTCGGGTTACGTTTGGCATCGATATTGTTTTGATCCATAAATAATATAAAGCGATCGCCGACGAACGGCGGATTATAGAGTGTGTCCATAAATAATTGCACCGAGATCAGTCGGCGCCTCGGAGTCTCGGCGAGACGTGGAGTCTAGTTGGCTGTGAAATTCAATACGTCGACGAAGGTTGGCGTAGAGTGCGGGCGTGTGACGTAACGTCACGTGAGTGCGTCCATTGTTCCCGCAATCCGCGAAAAACGCCGTTGCATCACCGAGTGCCGCTAAAAATGAAAGGAAAACGTAAAACGTGCCGTAATTACGCACTAAAGAAAGTATAAATTGCTGTTATGATTATCATCTCTCGTGTATTGTTATAATTTA